ATTCTGAGCCAGGCTTACAACAAAGCTAAGCGCATGCAACAGGCATGTGGCCTGTGAAACCTTTTGTCAATGAGTATTGTGGTTTGAGGAAAGACAGGAAAGTTCATTAAAAGCCACTCAGGTTCACTAAAAACTTAATACTCAGAATGGCTGGAGTCTGGCAAGATTTTAGAGATAAGAATCATATATGCTCCTTCTTCTGCTCCTGTCCAGTTATCTGTTTTTGACAAACATCAGAGATAACGCATTAGCTTAGATGGACCTTTAGTTGGACTCACAACTCATTTTTATAGCAAGAGGTAGGGTATACAGCCCTGAAGCAAAGTGGTAAACATATAACAAGAAATAGCTGGGCAGGAAAACGTCACTGTTCTGCGCTCCTTCTGCTTAAAAAGTGTATTGGCTAGATAAGTTAGAGGGAATACATATATATAGTAGATGTGTGCATGCAATGGGTGTCAGCGATTCACACACGTGCCTTAACAGAATATTCAGTGGAGATTGAGGCAGCTGCTTCTAAAACAAGTGTCTGCAGTAACAAATAGCAAGCTGTCTCAGTGAAACACATCTGTGGCTTGCTCCTGGTGAAATTTACTGTGTTCACATAGGAAAGATGTGTGCCTACATTTTCATGTAGAATTTTCATGTAGAGCATCTACATGAAAATAAGCAGCGTTTTCATGTATAATAAATCCACAGATTCTTTGCAAATACCTCCAGCTTTGCATGCAAACACTAACAAAAGCAAAGTGGGTCATATTGTTTAGTTCAAATCCAGTAAGAGATGCAGTGATTTTTGAAACTATCAAGAAAGAAAATGAGAGCTGAAAAAAACAGGACAATTTTTGCAAACAGTGTTAAGAAACCCAGTATGAAAATATCCATAAAGCACAGAGGATAAAGAAAATAGATATGAGTTATAAATATATAATACTATAAATACATAAATACAAGCATATTTGATTTTGAGATTTTCAGATACAAACCTTGAACTTCCTCTCCTCAGTCTATTGCAGTTTGTTTGTTTTGCATAATAAAATTATTTTGGTTTCTCTGTTCAAACATACTACTATTTCTTTCCTCAAAAAAGCCCACATTCCAGTGCAATGACATTAGCTGTGTGAAGACACACGGCTTATTTCAGCTGAGAAGTGTTCTGATCCACAGGAACTAATTAGAGCATTTTCTCGAGCTCGTTCCTTTCTTCTCATTAGTGGTGACCAAAGACAACTGCTGAGACATGATTATTGCAGAACTGTCTGCTAGCGGCACATGATCTTATCTGAAATAAATCAGCAACTACTACAAGAGTAAGGGGTAGGGAATGCTTAGGAAAATGGCCACTGGCAGAAAACAGCCCCAACAAGAGTCACCCGAATGCCACACAAACTGCTCAGGAAAAGGCTGAGAGACTTGGGGTAGTTTAACCTGGAAAAGGCTCTGAGGAGTCTGTTGCTGCCTTTCAGTACTTAAAAGAGGGTTTATAAGATGGAGACAGACTTTTTAATAGGGCCTGCAGCAATAGCTCAAGGGGTAATGGTTTTGTACTAAAAGAGGGGAGATTCAAACTAGATATAAGGAATTAATTTTTTACAAAGAGAGTGCTGAGGCACTGGCTCAGGTTGCCCAGAGAAGCTGTGGCTGCACCATCCCTGGCAGTGTTCAAGGCCAGGCTGGATGGGGCTTGGAGCAACCTGGTCTAGTGGAAGGTGTCTCTACCCCTGTCAGTCAGGTGGGTTGGAACTGAAGGAGCTTTAAAGTTCCTTCAAAGCCAAACCAGTCTGTGATTCTATGATTTCTCAGCGAGGTCTGCAGGTTGTTGTAACTGATGGGTATTTCAATCAGTGGACTGAGGCATGTCATATGCTCTGGAAGGCTCAACAGCTTCATAGAGACAGTTCTTGAATTCAATAAATCAGTGATATTTACAATTTAGTTTACCTGGGGGGCAGGGGGGGCTATTTCTTCGTACCTTACTCTACAAGTGATACATTTAACCTCCAAGGGACAGACAGCTTGTTTCATCTGTTAGTGCTTAATGGCTGGGCAAACAACCAGCAATAATGATGTGACAAGTGAGGAAAAGGAAAGCATAAGTTGTTCACCCAGTTTAAATGTGGCCTTCCATGCTAATAGAATAGCATTTATGCATTTGTGGTGCTTTTATACATTCCTGCATGTTATGCTTCTTTTTTTTTAATTGTCTGGCTGCACAAACTTCTAAAAATCTGAATGAAGTTGTCATAGCATCACACTCTGACTGGACTGAATGTCCCATGGAGTCAGCTTATACGTCGGCACATTATAAAGACAGAGTAAAATTCATGTGAAGGGAGTACAGAGGGCTATTCACAATATTGGCACCGTCATGCCCCTAAGAAGTATAAGGGTTGCTCTAACTGTTCAGTCTTTCCTGACTATATGTTTCAGACAAAGAGTGGGTTGCTCTGCTGAAGAGTGTTAATAAGACATGCCAGATCTTAACAGAGTCAGTCAATGTGACAAATCTTGCAGTCTAAAGAAATGGTCAGGGCAGAATTTAGCTTCAAAGAGCAACTCCACCACCAGGAACAGGCTCGAGTAATTATAAAATCTATTGTGCTGCACAAGCACACTCAACAAAGAGCATTTTAACTTCCACAGCCCTTCAAAATCCCATTTGTTTCTACTTCCAGAGTGTAGTGGGGTTTAAAAAGCATAAATTTTCAAAAGTGACAGATTTAAATCCAAACCAAAATAACAACAACAGGAAAAAAGGAAAACATCACACCTGGTTTATGGGGAAGAAAATCAGATGGCATTTTTATATGCAAATGATGAATATCTGTGGGAAAGAATTCAATATGATGAATGTGCTCTGTTTCCTCTCTGCTATTAAATAAGCTCCTGTGATGCATTTGCCTATCCTAGCCTTGCTTTCCCATGCAAATTTGCAGCAGCTGTATAGGGGGGACAGAGCACAAGGCCATGACTGGTTCACCCATTGACTGATGGATCTTTTTCCTACCAATGAAGGCAGTTGAAAAGAGGAAAGACTCTTTTAGGTTTCTCTGTGGTTTGGTGTTTTGATTTGGTTTTATTTATTTATTTTTTCAGTTTTAACATTTCATTACCTGATACCAGTAGTTTTTAATTTTTAGGGAGAACAGAGTCTATCACAGTCACACATTGAGTCCACGACTCAGCAGTAGTTTCCCATCTATGGGGAAACTACTATGACTACACAGAAAAGTTGAGCTTGGTCTCAGTGTGTCTTTCAGGCCTAAAAATTGCCTATGTACTTCAAGAATCACCTCAAAAGAGTTTAGTTTATATTGGCAGTAGCTATGCCAGTAGGGAAAAAGATTTTCAGTGGTATATGCTACCCCTTCACTGGGGGTTTCTACAACAGAACTATAGCACAGAGACCTTTGTAGGTGCACTTTGTGACCTGTCCCTGTTTAACTTATCTGATTTAAAAGATTGAATAAAAAGGGAAAACCAAATAATTTTCCCACTTTCACAGGTAACTGATTACTTTCTGATTTTTAACACATGGAAGCTAACATCCAAAGTCATCATCTTGTAGTCCCCAAACACACAGAATTGTCACTGCAGCCAATGAAGGTTTTGCCAAAAGAGACTGTAATAGTAAATCAAAGACACTGAAACTTACTTTCAGAAGGAGAGGTAAAATGAAAATTAAATAAGTTATATTCATCTTGAAAGGACTAAAACTTTAAGACAGTGCTGGAAACAAAGGGTTAGATTTCTGATAGGGAAATGTTACAATTGTTGTGTGTCTGGGTGCCTTAATTTGAAGACAAGGAAAACTCTTCCCACTACTATAATAGGCTCCTTGATTAGGAAAAAAAAAAAGGAAGAAACAAATAATGACAGCCAATTTCCAGTGCTTTTAGGCTATTCCATCTCAAACAGTGTGATGAATGCAGCAATATCACTTTTGGCTATAGCACGAAAAATATTATTCTCTATAGACGCTCCAGCATAAAACAAAAATGCTTTTATTACCAGTAGCAATGATGTGACATGCCTGATAAATGCCACTTTAAGACTCCTTTGGGTCCCAGCATCCCTTCACACTTATTATCAAGTTACTAATAGATTCTGCAGGTTTGACTGGCCATCATTTAAGGGTGTCATTTTCTCTAAAATGACAGAAAAGTAAAATGTTCTAAAACGTTCAATTTTTCTCTTTTCCCTGACTGAGTGACTAATGAGTAAGAATAATAACTTTTATTCGTGTTGTCTAAGTGATGAAATGGCCATTGTAGAATGATGAATATCAAGTAAAGATGTTTTCATTTAACATAGGCAGGGAAAAAAAATACATGAACCTTTAAATCTTAAAAATATGAAAGAGAACAGGCAGCTATTTAAGTATTCACATCTCTTGTTTGATAACTGAGTCTATTTCCCTTTGTTATTAGTTTTTCTGTGGATGCATAGAAGCATTGATAACAGGGTCAGACGTTACAGATTAAATTCTTATTTGCAAGATGATATTGTCCAAATGCCCCCTGATATTAATACCCCTTTACTCTTGGTACTGTGTAGAAATACCATAAAGGTTAATTCCCATAGGAGAGTGTAGATGTTACATAAACCAAACAGAAGATTGAAGCAGAAAGAGATGCACAGAAAAACAGTTGTACAGCAGATTCATGGCAGACCTCACAATGTGTTATATTTAGATTAGAGATGATACTTAGGTTGCAAACGCCTCAGAAGGGTCCCTGCCTTTCAAATCATAGCCATAACACCCAGAAGAAGACAATCTTCTCCCATAGATGATTTCTACAGTATACTACAGTACCAACAGAAATAAGAATATAAACCACATCTTTCTGCACATGTAATTACTTGGAGCTGAGTGCCTAATTCTCTTAAGCCACTTAAAAAACCCAGCATAAATTCTTGTCTGTATTAGAGTATTTGATCTCATCATGACAAAGATACAGTAAAAATACTATACTAACTAAATCAGTGTAAATGCTCACCTGACCCTCTGCTCATCATGCTCGGTCCTTGTAGTTCAGTCTGATCAACAACGGGGGCCACTGGTTGTTGATGTCTTCTGCAAAGAACAAAACATTAAATAGTAATCTTCCTTTCAAGGGAATAGATTTTGTCTTTCTCCATATTTAGGAAAAAAAACCAAACAACCCAAAACTTCATTTCAACCTAATTGTGTGTTGATCAACTACAGGGTTTTTAAAGATTTTTCTTAGAAGTTTATCTTTCCTTAAAATAGCTTGGCCAGCTCAGTCCAGTGAGTTTATTTGTGGATCAAAGGCACAAAGTGACACGTGATTAACATTGTGTCTGTATAAACACAGCAGAAAGTAAGCATATTCTAACATTATTTAAAGTAAAGGGTAAGACAATATTTAGATTTGGCAATAACTTCAGTGGAGACACTACTGATCTGCACAACAGATGTCTTGTTTCATTGACTTCAGTATTGATTTTCATGAGTCCACCTATCCCAGATCTTTATCTACTCATTTCTGCAGGGAGACTGAAATGTCACCGGAAAGCCCAGTTCTGCCAAAAAGAGATTGAATGAGCTAGATATGAGCCAGCATCTTTAGTTGCTTCCTTGGAGATGAAGAAATTCCATCATAGAAAAGGGCTGAAGGACAAAGGGCTTTATGGTATAGGGAATGATCAGCCACCACCCCAATTGACTGACCAGGCAGAGCAAACTACAGGCTGTAGGAAACAAAAGCAACAGTAAAGGAGCTGATTCTGCAGCTTCTTCAGTAATAGTGCCACAGCCTCTGATCCACTTAGAGAGGATTCCCATTGCTACTGTGCTTCTTATTCATTAGACAGACTCTGAAACATCGGCTCTGGTAACAAGTGGTCATTTCTGATCATAACAAGCTCGTTGGCAAAGAGGAATAAAAACAAGCTATTTGATCAGAAAGATCACAGAATGCTGCTCTGGCTGTATTGCAGGCTGTGTAATGTAAACTCTACCAAATAAACACTCCCAGATATTTTCCTACTCTCTGATTACTATACTAGAAATGCTCAATAATGTTCAACAAATGTACGAAAACAGCATATGTCAATCCAGCGTTTCCTTCAAACTGTTCTATTTTCAGTTCCTGTTTTGTTCAATTAACACTGCTATAACTGACTCACTCTTGTTACATCTGATCTGCTCGGGAAGAACAGAAGGAGTTTTCATTAGCATTGAAAATCTATAGTTAAACAACTTTTTAACAGTGACACAAAGGTGAAAGTCAGGAAGATGAAGTCTGATGCTCAAAGGTCCTTCTCAAAATGGTGGCAAAAAGTATGTTCCTAGGACTGATATGAAGGCTAAGCAAAGTCTGTGAATCTCTTCCTCCAGCCAGAAGAGAACAGAAGCAGAAAGCACCTTTGTGTGATATCATTAGTGATCATTGTTGTATGCTAACACTGGTAAAAGCAACAAAGTAATCTTTTTTCTTAAGTTTCTTTTGTGCACTTCTTGCATGTGCTCTCTTTTTTCCTTTGTGTATTGCCAGGAATTCAACTATTTAACAGAAGAGGACAGAAGAATATACTTTCAGCTTAGCCAAAAAATCAGATTAAAGCCAAGTATGGAAAACAGGGAGAAAGGGCTTTATTGTAGCTGGGAGAGGTGGTCCCACCCAGGGAAACATCTATATGATTTACCTTTTTTCAAAACCCTAACTCTTTTCATGCCAAATAAGCCACTAGTGATTTCATTTGGTATTATTCTACAGTGATGCTGATGATGCTAAGTACCACCCAGTACAGCTGTGGGCCCTGTGCAGAAGACTGATCTAATTTCACACAGAGCACTCTGAAATAGAAAAAGCAGGCGGGAAGGACAGAGTGATTCCAACACTCACGCAGTTATCAAGCAAAGCCTGCTGTTGGATTACAGGCAGGTAAAAAGCTGATGATGGGAACTGTGGCTAGCCTGCTGAAGCAAAACACGAGAGGGTCAAGGCCCAGCATGCAAGTGTTTGCCAGGTGTGTGGGCAGGGGAGTAGACAAGGTATTGCCAGTAGGATGCTCTGGAGGTACTGTGGAAGTCCCTTGTCCCTTGCTCCTGATCTACCACTGTTCCACTGGAGCTGTGGCTTGTAAGCCAGATAGGAGAGAACGTGTGCAGGCTGGGAGATGAAGAATAAGCGATAGGTGACAGGTCAGGGATGGAAAGATGAGTGTTATGAGCCAGCCAGGCAGAGCAGTTAACTAAAGCCACACAGGAGACAAAGGTCATGCACTGGCATAACTATTTTCCTACTGGAAACTAAGGAAAACTGAAAGGTCCAGGACTCTCACATGTTCACTGAGAACAATAACCAGAGGTACACTTATTTAAAAACATACTGAAGCATGTAATTACAATTTCTACCTTAAATGGCGAGCCTGCCTGAGTCAGAAACCAACAAAGTGGGAGAAATGCAAGTGGACTTCAAATATAGTTCATATAAACTGTGAGAATCAACAAACAGCACATTCATCCCAGACTCCCTGGTGAACTGTGTGTTAGAAATCATTTGTAGAATTATTTTTTTAGTCCTGAAGACAAATTCATGCTGCACAAACCTAGAAGACTCTGTTGCTATTAAATCATCATCAAAAACATCAACAAAAGGTCATTTTGTCAGTGCTCTCATTCTATATTGCTAGACCCAGATATCCCTGTGCCTGCCTGGATCTCTCTGCCTGAGGTGCTCTTCCCTTGTTGCTCAGGTGAAGGCAGCTGCTATATGGATATACTTTACAATGTGTTTTGAAATTATTCCCTAAATAAAAATTGGGCTCTGTGGGCTTCAATAGGCAAGTATAAATAAAGAATGTGTCTCTGGTTTAAACACAGTAAGTAAAACACACATCCCTAACACAGAGTAAGAAACATTTCTGGATAGAGGTAGGAAGGTAAGACAGTATGTTTTAAAGAAAAGCTAACACTTCTGAGCATTTCTAAGATGGATTTGTATGAACATTACCCTGAAAAGATTTTAGAAACAGGTATATTAAAATGCTAATTTGAAATTATTACGAATTTTTGTCTGAGGAGCAAGTTGTCTTAAAGGTTCCATTTTCAAACATGGAACTGTTTTCACTTTATGAAATATTTTGCATTATATTTTAATTAAAGTTATAATTACAGAACTAAATATAATTAGCTTCTTTCTTCAAAAGAAATTGGAAGTGAACCTACTTTATTAAATTTTCAATTTGTTTCCTGCAGTGTTACATAGTTTATTCTAATTAATTGAATGAGATCTCATAAATATTTTATCAACACAGGGATGTGATTAACAGCTCGAGTTTTGTGTGGGTTTCTTTTTTCTTTCCAGCTTTCTTCTTCTTCTCTGCATTACCATTCCCCCAGTTTTCACATGCACTCTCCTGCTTTCAGTGACAGCTTGAATACAGGAGCATTTCCAGACCTTCCCCCTTCCACAGCAGAATGTTGTATTTTAGTAGTCTTGGCCATAGGAAACCATTAACTTCTCTTTGGGAATGTTTGTTATCGAAGGGAGTCCTCATGTAACCCAGACCAAGGTAGTGACACTCATTTCTTGTGTGATTTATGACTTCCACACTGAACAGCTTCCTGAAGAATCTTCTCTGCTTTCAGTGTGTGTGTGTGCAGAGCATTTCTCTATTCCTAGAGCAGATAAAGCAGAAACGAGTATAAAGGACAGTAAGCCCCCCCATTAGCACACCCTACTCCAGGGATTATGAAATGGAGCAGAAGGTACATGTCACACAGCTCCCTAGTACCTCTTGGGTTGCAAAGGGCTCAATTTTTATGTGGCATCAGTGAGAATTAAAACTTGTGGGTGCCGAATGGAGCTATTGCGGTTTGAGCCTCGGGTTTGAGTTGTTCAGCTTCCCCTTTGCCATATGGACATTCAGCACAGCAGAAACATCACCACAATACCCTCAGGCCCCTCTTATTAGATCAAGAGCTAGCATCATGGGGAAAAAAGACCAGGATCTTCACAGACTCACAAGGAAAGAGGCAGTCCCTGCTTCAAAGCATGTCAAATCAAATAAAAAGGAAAGGAGGATGTGAAGGTGAAGTGACCTGCCTGTAGTTATCAGGGCAAACACAAGAATTTGCTCTTTTAATCCCCATTCCAATGCTGCCTCCCTCCCCATCACTACTGAAATAGGATGAGTGTGTTGGAAATGCTGCTCTACAGCCACAGCACTGTGTAGATATACTTATCAGTATGGATAGCTAAGCAAATAAACAGCATGTTGATTGTATCAAACAGGAAAAAAATGTAAGTACAACTGCATATAAACTGAACAGTCAGAAAGTAAGAAGATAATCATTATGGCTCTGAATCAGACTGAACCCCTGTTAGTCCCCTGTTTAGAAGGGAAGGGACTAGTATCAGACCAACACTGTTCTTTTAATATATTCCATATTAATTTAATTAAGCACAGCTTTAATAACAGCAAAGAAAAGACTCAGCCTTCACCATGACCTTTACCATCCAGCAATATCAAAGCTCTGGGATAAATTGAACAAAACTGAAATTCATTTTATCTATCCATTTAGCTCAAGCATGTATTGTGTTACTTACCCGTCTTGTACTGTTGACAGCAAGAGTCTGAGTATCTTTTAATATCTAAAGAACAAATTGTTTTCTTGCAAGCATAATTCAAAAGTCCCACTGATGTAAGCTGGAAGTGTACACATTTCTCCCTGGGGAAAAAAAAAAATCCCCCTAATTGTTTTTCCTGTTCATACATTCCTTTACTACTTATTCTTTAATTTAGGGTAAATTGTGGAGGTAGAAAAGTGTATCAGATTCATTTCTCATTCTATGTGTTGTACAAAACTGGGTAGTCTTCATCTGCATGCACAGTAATGCTTCTTTTGAATTGTGAAATAAATCAGTGGAAATCCTGTTTACAAGAGCCTTGCACTTATGATTCAGTGATCCCATTGCACTGTTAATGCTGTTTTCCAAAGTCTAAAACTATTTTCCAAACAATCCAAATTTTGATTGATAGACGAAGTTAACCCTGATGTTTACAGACATTTCTTGTAGAGGCTGAAGCAGTGACTCTTGATGC